TCTAGTTTTTGTTTTTTTCTTTTTGAGTTTAGGTCTTTTTTTTGTAGCTTACAAGGCATAGGGTAAAACAACCAAAATATCAATTAATGACCATGACACTTATAATGTGTCAACTGACGATTTCAGTCACTTTCATTTATTGGTAGAAATAACTCTGTTGATTATTTTACTATTTAAATCTCTTCTATTTCTATCTACTATAGTTTCTGTATAAAAAAAACCACACACAAAATGGGAGAAAACATCGTCATTGAAGAGCAGTAACTCTTATGAGGAGTAGACTAATGATTCTGGTTGTATTGACTCCGTAAATCTTATCTGGCAGATAGTTTTAGCTGACCAAAGTATTTCTCTTTTTATCATTTCTCTTTTTATTATAGTTTTTAAGATTATAGCCAAATACACAAAAAGGGTAAACTTATTCGTTCGTTAGTTGTCTCATACCAAATCTCCTTATTTTGTTTTCAATGGCAATAACTCTTATAAGGTATCACATAACTATTTCGGCAATTTAATTTATTTGTAGATCATAATGTTCTGACCATTTTTTTTTTTTACAATTTCACTCTTTCTACTATTAAGTTTCCGAAGAAATCATCTAAAAAAGGTAAAAATCGTAATTCAAGGGCAACTTCTACAATCAATGTCGGGCATGTTGACTGATTTCTAGAGCTTTCTTTGTTGGTTAGTTTTACAATTTAAAGTTTCCCTCTATCCATAAAAATAGTCAAGAGAATAACTAGACCCTGCGTAATTTGCTAAAAACGGACATCTCAGGGGCAATAACTCAAATTCTAATTTTCTAAAATGTACAAGGTTGAAAATCATAAACCTGTTGAACAATTTGTACGCCAGACGCTTGTTTAGTCCACAAAAGACTTATCATTGACGCTTAAACCAAAACAGTTGGGTTGTTAAATCAAGTACGAAGTTGAAAAACAATAAAAAACGGAAATTCCACAAAATTGTGCCAAATAGGGCTTAGACAATGTATACCTGGGGGTATAAAAACCTTAGCGTTTTGAATAATATCAACAGTAAATTTACAGAAAATATCAACATTTCGAATTCCACTGACAACTTAAAGCTGTTCACTGACAGTGCTGTTTTGCAAGCTTTTGTTGTTTGGGATATTTCAAGGTGCAATGGGTTCAAAACAATTCAATTCGGATGAGGTGCAACTATTTAGGGAACCCACACAAAATGAGTCAAACATATGTTCTGATAATTTAAGGAATTGTGTTTTTTTGATCGTTTTTTTTTATAATTATGATTGCCTTGCTTTGACTAGTTGCCAATTGTCTGCCTTATTGCAACTTATATATAAGTCTTTCTTTATAATCATAAACCACAAATGTATTGGAGTTTTATGTTGACAATGTTGACTACTGTACCCCTATTTTTGACATTTTTTCCCATAATGTCTGTTTGTTATGTTTACACATTGTTGTCAATATAAGGGAATTTTTACGACTGTCATCATACAAGTGACAGGTTTAGCTACCTATAAAACCAGGTTAAATCCACCATTTTCTTCATAAGGAAATGCCTGTACCAAGTCAGGAATATGACAGTTGTTTTCCATTCGTTTCATGTGTTTGAGCTTTTGATTTTGCCATTTGATAAAGGACTTCCCGTTTTGAATTTTCCTTGGAGCTCGATATTTTTGTTATTTTACTTTTTAGTTAAGATTGCAGAGTCTCCTGTAAGTGTACGGGTGATATGATCAATATAAGTGAACAATGTATTCTGCGAGGCCTTCTGGCAACCTAGTGAATAACATATGTTGCTTCAGAGGGTTTCGGTTTCTATTAAATTTTGGTCACAGATCAAGAGTCGTCGTATCCTTCACAGATTGTAATTACATGTTGAACGATGATCTTAGTTAAATTTCAAATTAGATATAAAAATAATCAAATGAGTAAAAAAAAACAAATCGATAAGAAAGGGAGCCGAATCAGTACTCATTTGAATAGCGACATTTCGTTGAAATATCAATCCACAAAACTCCTAAAATATGATATCGATAATTTGTTCATTTTTTTAATAACCTTAATTTAGAAAATCGTGGTAGAAAGTTTAGACAGCGAAAAGTGTTTAAATACACCTATATTTGAACAACAACAAAAAACACTGATCGAGATTAAAAGGGAAAGATTGTGATTAAAAAAATCATGAAAACTTGGCATATTGTATTGAAACCGGTGTTCAGTTCTCATGTAATATCTATGGTTAATTTTGCCTGACAGGTTTACACTTTATTTTTTGTAAACATATAGTGGCGGTTAAGAACATGCCAACTGTTGTTCGTTTAAATATCTTTCTTTATTCAATTGATTAGGAACACAAAATAAAGTATATTTTGAAATGTTATCATTGCAGGAGTTTTATATCTTGAAACTGAAAAACAAAAGTACACAATCAATAATGCTTAATAATTTTATTTGAAATCATAATTGAATATCGAGTGGACTTCTCTTTGACGAACTATTTCAATATAGGATTGACCTTTAGTAACCTGAAAAATGAATAAAAAATCATGTGTCATTTTTTCTGAAATATATATAAAAAAAATGCAAGTCAATGAAAATGCTATGGCTTTTTTGTTTGTCTTCCATAATTTGATTATCCTTTTTGTGTCGTCCCCTCTCTTTTACAAAGTTTGACTGTTGTATTTAATACAACTCATAGAAAAATGCCTATACATCTACACTTTGATTTCAACGTCTTATTACGAATCAGTGCACATTTTGGAAATTCTTTGCAGTTACGTTAACTGAATTGAAATCAACATTTTTCAGTTGTTGTCTGGGTTTATATCGATTTGGTTAGGCTGTTAAAATGAATGGTTCAAATTCAAGCTTTAATAAAACAAGTGTCCAACAAGTAAGATGCTATTAAAGGTATATGATTAAATTTAATTTCATTATGTGTTTTGTTTTTAATTTTTGCTGTCGATTTTTTTCTGTTTTAATTGTTTTGAGATGTTTCTATGTAATCATGATCGAGAAATATTTAAAGAGGTGCTGAAACAAGCCAAATATTTAATGTTGGCAAGAATGGAAAGCTTGACATTTTTTTTTTATCTAAATCGACCCTTGTTTAAGCAGTGGGAGGGTTGAGCGCTCATAAACATGTTTAACTCCGCCACGTTCTCTATGTGTCTGTTCCAAGGCAGGCGCCTGTAATTTGATAGGTATCGTTTGTAGCTGTCTATTATATATCTGATTTTCATTTGTATTTTGTCATAAATCACACCAATAATTTTTTCGTTTATATTGTTTTACATTTTGTCATGTTGGTGCATTTTCTAGAAGACTGTGTGCTATGGATTTTTTCATTATTGAATGCCGTTTTATTATTATTGCTTATATCGACGTTATTTAGACCATGGTAGATAGATGTCTAGCTACATCTCCTTATTTTCTATTTCTACTTACCACTACGAAGACAACATCCATTGTAAGAAAGACAATTGTAGTAGTCCTTGTTATTATAATAATAGTAGCCTTTGTTGTTATAAAAATAGTAATCGTCAGGACATCCGTATTTGTTGGTGCAGTAATATTTTACTGTGCCGTATGGGTTACCTATGAGACAAAAAAAAAGATAAAAGAAAAGTTGAAAAAGATTACTGTTTAAACTTCGCAAATAAAATCAAAATCATTATTTTTAAACCTTCAATACATAAACAAATGAGTTACAAGATAAAAATTGTGGATGAATAAAACGGTAACCTATATTATCAACTTTTTCATCATTTGGTCTCTAATAACGAGTTGTCTCATTGGCAATCATACCACATCTTTTCTTATTTTTATACAGATACGTTTTCATTTGTATTTGTATTTTTATTTGTTTAATTATATATGTTAAACAAAACCACGATAGATAGCAGTCTATAATGTTGTACAACAGACGAGCGTTTCGTCCACAAAAGACTAATCATTGAAATTTGAATCAAATGATTGGAAGGCCAAATAAGATTATAGAGGTGTTAGGAATGGGATTTCAAAGAAGGAGCAAAAACCATATACAAAGCTTTAAAAGGCCCCGACATGAAATGCACAAGTTTCAAATAAACGAACATTTTGAATAAAAAGATTGATTCGGATGTGATTTGATGGAATGTTTTATTGTTCATTTATTTTTTATCAGTTTGCAGATTTTTCTTGTAGTCGTTCAACAAAATAGTAAGAAAAGGGGGGACATCGATCTGAAACTTAATCCATCACTACTATGAAAAAATCAATTTTAAGAAAATGATATTAATATATATATGAATAATGATCGTGTTGTTTTTCTCGATCTTCGCCCGTGTATTGCGGAATAAATTTTTATTATTTCATTTTGTCAAAAATATTCTTAGCTGAATCAAACACTCCCAAACAGGTAACTTTAATGAATGATTATTTTTGCCTTTTGAGATGGTCGCCACTATAGGCTGCATTAGTATTGGTAGTTACCATCGTATTGACTTTTCTAACACGTCTAAATAGTTGAATAGCAGTGACGTTCCAAAATTCCGAAAGGTTTTGACAAATACAGCAAAGTAAATACAACTCAGAAATCTTTTTTAAAAAACACATCAGGTGAATACATCAAGCATTGAACACAGGTACGATCATAAGACATCAACTGTAACATATTAAATATATCTTGGCATAGTTGACAAGTCAAACATGATAATTTCAATTTCCCGAGGTAATGTATTGACTAAAGCAAATACATTTTCTATGTTCATGATTCAAAGTTTTTATCGCTTCGAAATGATTGAAATGAAGTTTATCATTCATGTAGTCGAACAAGTTTTTATTTATGGTGTGTCTTGTATCTGTTCTTTAAGTTTTCTATTTCAGTTTGAATGAGGTCTTGGATACAAGCACTGCGGTAGTATCTATTATTGTCATTGCTGTTGGTAAACAGGTGATATCTAAAGATGTGTATACTCACGAGGAAGACAGCATCCAGCATAGGAGTTGCAATTATACTTGTAAGACCTAGTGCCATAATTACAATATCCAGTGTTGCCATAAAAAATATATCCTGATCGACAACCCTTATTAGAGCAATATCCTCTGTAATCATAATCACCGCCGCCAGATTTAACTACAAGCAAACATTTAAGACATTTGTAAATAAAAAAGTAAATGAAAATGAAATTGCATTTTTATACAAAAACAATACACTTCTTTTTTACAGACACCAGGTGTGTAATAAATACACTTGTAAAATGTGCAAATGTTCGTATCGCTACGTACCACGGAGACAACATTTGCTTCTCCTGAACAAGCTCAAAGAAATATGTGTAAAGATAGAGGGATAGACGATTTTAATTTCTTATGCCTTCCAACTCATTTTATTGCACGGTCATTTTTTTGGACTGTTTTCTGGCAATAATGAGACCTTACTTTATATCTCTAGATAGTAAAGTTAAGAATGTGTTGTCACCATTACTATTAACATGGAATCCGCTTGTATTTAGGCTGCGTTATGAACAAAGTGTAGTAGTCAGCCGAGAACCAGCTTACAATACATTAATCATTAATCATTTTTCTTGTCTGCAATAACGTTAATTTTTCTACACTAGATACGGATTTCGACAATAAATATCTTCTTCAGTGATCATCAAATCGAACATATTTGAAAATACAACACTTACTGAAATGCAAATTATGAAACTTCTGCGAAATAGGAAATAAAATTATGAAATTTAAACAGTGAACGATTTTATTTCCTTTACAATTTTTTCAGATTCGTTCATCGGAATCATAGGCCCTTATCGAAGGTCAGAATTTTTAAAACCATTCCCATTAGAACGCCACAGAATAGATATATGAACAAACATGAAAAACTACTTGAATAATAAATACAGAAAATGTGAACACTAAAGCTCTCTTACCTATTCCGCACAGAGCGGTGATCACAAAGACTGCGAGTATCATCTGGATTGACTTCATCTTGCAATTGGGTGAACTTGCATGTTGATGCTGCTTTAAATATGAAATAAAAGTCTTTTTTTTCAAACAGATGTTTCGCTTATCATATGCAAGAATAAGCATGACATACTTAAGAATTGGATTTAGCTATGAAACAACTACACATATGCATGCATGTCAAAACTTAAATGAGAAATTCCTGTAATAATAAAAAAAAATTAAATCTTTCTTTGTTAGTATATCAATCGTGGCTGGACACAATTTAAGTGTTGATGTATTTACATATTGAAACAGGGTTATATCATATTACATGTATGAGTAATTTTATTTTACAATACAAGCAATTACAATTATGATATTGGATTAATTCTGCTTTTAAAGCGCATACTAAATCTGCAGTTTCTGCTGTTATGAAAATATGAATACACAGAGATTGAACATGACATTCAGGGAGAAATCTAATGAAAGCTAATTTTAAACACTACATTATCTGGGTTACCGGCAGTAGACATGTGAATATTTACTAAACCAGGCTTCATAAGTTAAAAAAAAACTTTGACTCTCTGACGATTTCATATTTTTTGGAATGAGAAGTCATACCTGTTTTAAAAATGTCTTATTTAATTATGCCGTTTTTATGAGGATTTGTTTCCATTCAAACTAACAGGATTTTTCTGTTTGGAGGACCCTTTTTCTTCCTTTGAATTCGGTAATTATCATGTTTTTGGTTGTTGATCTTTAGTTACTTCTATATTGGATACCAAGTACAAAAAGAAAACGAACTTTAAAAAATGCATTGTTTTCTCTTTTACATTATTTCACATTTTTAATGTCGGGGCCTTTTATAGCGGATGATACGGTATTCGTTTTTCTCATTGTTGAAGGCCATGTGGTGACCTATCATTGCATACATCGACATAATTTGAACCCGTTGGATTATTATCTCATTGGAAATCATTCCATATCTTCTTACTATTTTTATATTGATGGCGATTTAAGCGCGACATATTGAATAAACACTTTTTTATAGTTTCAAATGGTATGTCAACCCTCTCATGTCCTTTAGATTTATGTATCGTATGTGTTGCTGTCTATTTTGCGTATAATCAGTCTCTCTTTTTATTCAAAAACACAGTACATTCCATAATGCAAAACCATCTTCAAATTGGTAAGCTGCTTAAATTCAAAATAAAGGAGAGTTGACCATTTGCATATTTGCAAGGATTATTTCACCGAAACAAACTCAACTCTTTCGTCGCACGAATACGTTAAAATGGAAACGATTGACATTTTCCTTTATAGTTCCTTAAAAAAACCAAAAGTTATCTATTACCATTAAATGTTCGTGTTTTTTTATTATAATTTGTTACTGAAAATAAGGAGATCGAGGTGTTATTGGATGCTGTTTAAAGTTTACAACTCACAAGTGACAAGCCATATACTAGTCATGTATTTAATACGTAATTATCTAATCAATTGTCCGTTCTTACAAAATTCTCTCATCTATTCCTTTTTCGAACCATACAAGTAATCTTGGTAGTGTTAAAAACTTTATGAATTTAGTGAAAACTACATAGTATGATTTAACCCATCTCTTGAAAACATACATGAGAACTACATTCTTAAGGGAAATATTTTACATGAACGTGCTTGATTATGCTACAAAGCAGAGGAGCAACTAGCTTATATCAAATGAAAGAAAGTTATAATAGCGAACGAATTGAATTTGCTATATATTATAAACATATGAAACCAAAAGTTTATGTGTTGACTTTATTCATCAATCACATGTACCTTTTTCACCATATTTTAGGGGCCTCGTCGGCCGAGTGGTCAAAGTAGTCGAACTAATGTATCACTAGCCAGTCAACACTGAGGTGTGAGTTCGAATCCCGCACGGGGCAGGTGCACTCGACTCCAATCCTAATTGACTAGAATTGTCAGTTTTCCCACCGAAGGTCGATGGGTCTCTCCGGGCACTCCGGCTTTCTCCACCAATAAAAACTGACCGCCAAGAAATAGCACAATAGTGTTGAAAGTGGCGTTAAACACCAATCAATCAATCAATCAATCACCATATTTTATATTTTATATTCTAATTCGCCAGCTCAAACGAATATAAATTATTTAATAAATAAAACAACACATAAATAGGATAAGTGTGCCTACAGGTGTAGCAGCCTTTCGAAAGACAAAGAAAGCCAAACAGATCTGAGCAAAGAATAATACACATAAATAGTATATCTATAAAAATTAAATTCCCAAACTTTTAGACACTGTCAGTTTTTCTTTAACATTTTCTCTTACATAGCCATCTTTTGCTTTATCTGAAGCCCATCTACCATGCTTCTTAAATAATCTATCATGAATGCCAGCTGATGCAGCTGCAGAAGCTCCACCTGATCTCAAGCTATGTAATCCAATTTTTGACTTATCTAAACCGATAGATTCCAGAGCTGATAATATAATTTCTTAAAAGACCTCTCAGTCTATAAGATCTAGATTTTTTTACATAAATACATGGATCTCAATATATAATCTGAAGATGATGCATCTATATTGGATAATAACAAATATTTCTCCAACATACTAACAGGGCATGTTTGTGTATCTGTTCTAGCAATTAAAACTTGTGTGCCTTCTCTATAACGATCAGTTTTGCTTTTCTGTATGAGCAAAGAGACATGTATATCAGCAAATTTTAAATCAGATCTTTTTAAATTTACCATTTCAGAAAATCTTAAAAACCCTGCGTAACTAATAAGACACATACAACAAATTCTAATTTCTATAAGATTGTTACATTCTTTACCATATTTATTAACAATTTTCTTTAAAATATCTGGCGTAATAGGTTCTTTTTTATTTACAATAATATGTCCAATCTTTCTATGAGCTCCTTCTTTAACCGATATACACAACTGTGAATTACACGGATTTGAATAGCCAGCTAGTTTGTGAGCCCAGCTTATTGAATAATATGCTTCTTCAACCTTAGCATACGAGTTAAATGTCTTTGATATATGTATTAAATACAATGAAACATAAAAATCTGAAGCTGGTAAAGGTTTAACATAAGAATAGTTATTACACCACTTACAGAAATTGTTTAATGCATAAGAGTATTTTCTTTTGGTATTCTCGGCTTTTGAATGGAGACAGAACTCAGGTAGGCAGTAAGATAAAGATGACAAATCTTGGTCAACTGGCTTAGGCAAGGATTTCCAGACTCCACATGAAAAAATATATGAAAAACGTGCATATCAAATAGAAATATAATCTACTATACTACTACTAGCTTACAATATATTAAAATGACCTTGCCAGATTTATTTTTCACACTGGCCATGTCAGGTGAGACCTTGCCTATTTAATTTGGCCTTGTCATCAGCATACGACCTTGCCATTAGATTGGTCTTGTCTTTATAAAATGTACCATACGACCTTGCTCAACAGCCTTGTCGTAAATTCTTACATGAACTGATCGTTCAATCTAATAGCTAAAACACTAGAAACGAATTCAGAAGATCCCAACAAGGACTTATTATTCATACCATGAATAAAAATGTTCTGATTTGGTTGAAATTCTAAAACATCAGTTACATAGGGTTGCAAATGCGAACCTTTTTTAAAAATCATTGTCCAATATGACGAGGAAGGCCACTTTGGAACTATCAAAGTGCCTCTAGCCTTACATAAAATCAAATGTTTGATTGCTCTACAGACAACGGAAATTAGAGGAACAATCCAATTTACTTCATTTTTCCAATTTTGCGTGAACGCATCAACTGCTTCAACACCTGGATTCCAGAATTTGGAATTAAATCTTGGTAATTTTTTATTCAAATTACTCGCAAACCTGCCCACAGTATGCGGACCCCACATATTATCTACTAATTTAAAACATTCTTTATTTGTTCCCCAGTTTTCTATATCAATCATTTTAGAAATATAATCAGCTTTTGTATTCTTAGATCTCGGGATCCAAACAACATCTAAAGTAATATTCAATTCAGAACACAACTTAAAAATATTAATAGCTATCTCTTGTAAATGTACTTTTGCACTTCCTTTCTGAACAATGGAAACACAGTTATTATTATCTGTATGCCATTTAACACATTTATTTCTTAAACGGTTCTTAAACGACATCAAAGCCAACAAAAAAGCTTGAAGTTCTCTCCATGTAGAACTCTTTAGGGACTCTTGTAAAGTCCACATCTGATGAAAAATATTAGAGTCAATATCTATCGAGTAAGCACCAGCAGCTACGTTACTAACATCAGAATATACAAGCACGTGAGGAAAAAAATAACCTGCTAAATGTTTTCTGTTCAATCTTCTAATGTTATTCAGCCAAAATGTGAGCTCATTAAATACAAGAGTCAGGACATTCCAATATTAACTTTAAATCCCACTTTACTCTGTATTCAATTGCCCAGGGTAAATAACGGGTCATTAAACTTGTTATGATACCCATGACTGGACACATAGAAATTACCTTTACCGTTACCTGAGACAACTTACGTGCTGTGAAATTAGGAAAGTTATTCAAAATATCAATGTAAGTGTATTATCAATCCGTCTATCTGATATACTAATTGAAAAATCAGACGAATCCCAAACTAAACCTAACCACTCTAAACATTGTACTGGCTCAAAAATAGATTTATCCATGTTAATTAAAAACCCTGCTTCTAACAAGGAGGTTTTCACGAAAGATGAACATTCGGAAGCTTCTTGTTTATTTTTACCCATTCCAAGTCCATCATCTAAGTAAAGTACAATATCTACGCCATTTTCTCGCCAATATTTTACGATTGGTCGTAGACATTTTGTGAATAGATATGGAGCAGATGATAGACCAAAGGCTGACTCTGTAAAACAGTAAAATTTATCGTTCCAGCAAAATCCTAAATATGTTTGTTGTTTAGTACATACGTCATAATGAAAATATCCAGACTTAAGATCAAATTTAAATTGATAGCAATCTTTTGTGAAATAATTTAAAGCCACTTTCCAGTCCTCAAATTTTATTCTTTCTTTTTGCCCGAACTTTGAACTGCAACACTGAGCGGATTTACAACAAACGGTTGAAATGGAGTTTCAATAACACATCCGATATTCAGTAATTCTGAAATTGCTTCATTTACAAATTTAGAATGGACATTTGCAGATTTGTTATTCTTAAATGACATAGTTGTAGGAGTCTTCAAAAATGGAATAACGTAACCATGTTTGATAGTTTTGATAACAAATTCATTTGCACCTGGGACAGCTGGTTTTGTACTGAAAAGGGGGCACTGAGTTCGCCAGTGACCAAGCTGGTTGCAGTTGTAACAGATGTCATGAGATGAGGGTTCCCTCCGTCTGCTGGTCCGAAAGGGCGGCTGTTGATAATTGTTTTGTCGAACATTATGTTGATTGGGCATTGGAGCAGGAGGAGCAGAAACAGTAGCTGTAACGGTTCTATAAGGATGAGGTCTTTTCTTTTCCTTGATACTCCTAATGGCACGGCTTTCTGCAGAACAAATGCGTTTCTCATCTTCTGAGTCGGAGGCAAGGTCGTCACTCTCATATTCACGGACGGTTTTCCAGCCTGCGGGAGATTTGTCTGCAATGCGGATGAGTTTATTACGCTTCTTAACTTTGAGGTTAGCACCAGATACCAATTTAAGACATGCTGCATCTTCATCAGGAATACGCTTCTGAAGCTTAACAAGGTCGGCCATAATTTTACAATTGAAATTGAACTGTATCTGGTTACCCTCACCTTTAAGTTTAACTGACACTTCTTGCTTGAGTTTGGTAGCAAAGTTCTCATTGCCAACGGCCAAGTCTTTGTGAAGAGTAGCGATCTTCCCGTCAAGATAGGTTTTAAACAGCGAGAATGTATCCACCAAGTCGTTATTACCAGTATGATGTGTAGAACTACCATCAGGCAACGAATGTACACTAGGACCAGGCAAAGATTCATGGTCAGAATCTAGAAGTTTCTCGGAGTCAGACATACCACAATAACGAACTGCTGCTACGTTAACTATAGGCAAACTTCGAATAACTTTATTTTCTCAAACGAACCCCTTAAGTAATACTTAATCATGCTTTTCACGAATCTCATGAGCGCATATACCCGTAAAAACCGCATTGCGGGTATATGCCATCCAATCAAATAGAACATAAACACACACCATGTGCTTGATATAAACACACACACGTTTTAATAGTAAACAATCACTTGACCGTAACTACGTCATGTGACCAATACCTTTAATAAATATATGTATTTAAAGTCTTAGTCATAATTTTGATTATATTTCTGTAATTCTAACAGTATTCTTTTTCGGGTTTTCTTTGTGTTTTATTTTGTCATATAGGTAACCCATGCATCAAATTCAGTGATTACTGCACCAGCGATTTCGGATGTCCGAAAAATTACTATTTTGATAAAAACAAAGGGTACGATTATGATGATAACATATATTTATGAATTTCGAATAGCGGTATACTACTGTTGCCTTTATTTATATACCAATAAGTATTACAATTGACGTTTCTGCAATAAATATTGTATTCGTTTGATTTAGTTTTATCACCATTAGTCCGTTTTCTCAGATAACTTTACAAGCAATCGTCACAGGCCGCATTAAAGCCTTTTTTGCGCTGATGCGGAGTAAAGTAAACACCAATCCATCACAGAGACTAGCATGTTTTTTTATGTATACATAATTTTATCTGTCAAGTTCTCAAAAAAATATCAGGACGCCTTCCGTATTTTGTTTTATTTTTGAATGTTTGTTTATCTTAACGCTAAGATTGCCGGCCAATAAATATGACAGTATTGATTGATTGTAATATTTCTTACTCTTTTATAGTCTATAATTTATTGATATCACCCCGATCTGTCTTTTTTCAATTTTCCACAAGTCTTCGACGTCTAGCATAAGCTTTTCTTACTTTTTATATTAAACGAGATCGGAAATTATTTAGTTCACTTTATTTTTCTATCCATAAAAGTGGCGTACATAAATAGCATGCCAGACTGGACAAAAATATTATCTGTTTACACTAAAAAGGGGATTTCTTTACCCAAATCAGTAAAATTGCTATTTTCTCACTACTACAATAAATGTCTTAAAAAGAAAAAAAAGATACCAAAGGAACAATCTCAAATCATGAATGAAGGAAAGTAAGACAACAACATGAACAGTTCAAAATAGTCAAACAGTAGTCCACTAATTATATACCGAAATGTACAAAATGAGACGACCGGTTAAACATTTGAATGAATTAAATTGTTTTCACCTGAAGCTGTTAAAACACAAATGCAGGTAATGGTGTATGAAACAACATTATTAGTAGTTATTTTATTAAATATGACTTCAAATCAATATAGTGAAAAAATTGAACAACCGAGTAGATGGGATCATTCCAGGCTTTAGAACATATCAAATATTTAACGGCAATAAACACGTCTTTCAAGTCCATACTTTTTTAATTGAAAAAGCAGCAGTATTATTTCTAACTCGTTGATATCGTGCGAAAGCTAAACGAATGTATTTAAATTTTACTACCGATTTAGGAGCAAGGTTATGTTGGCATTTTCAAAATGCCATCAAAAGGTAAAAAAAATGTACTTCGATGTTGACAATAATCAATGTGCATTGTAAACATAGAAATGCAAAATGATCGCTATTCGCCTAGACGGTATTTTGCGCAACTGCAGAACAAGATACATAAGTTGCATCTTAAAACTATAGAAAAAAAATTCCTTGACCTAAAAACCATACATTTATTTTGTTTTTGGGCATTTAGATATCGATCCCCTAGGATATATTTTCCTTGTAAAGAATTTTTTTTCAGTTTTGGATTTTTTTTAAATTGAAAAATATTGTGCAACTAACGTCTTGGTTTTTTTTATGATTTAGAATAAGTGTATCATGTTCTTTCAGATACATATGATAATCTATAATTTGTTATCCTAAAAGAACCAGAAAATAACATTTTGTTAAAATCTGGCAAAATTTTTGCAATGTTTATTTTTAACCTTTAAGTCTGGTTTATAAGAAATTGTACCGTACGATTTTTGTACGACCGGGCAAAACAGAAAATACAGATCAACAGCTTTTGAATGGTATTTAACATAGCTGTATGTTCGGTGCATGCATTATAGTTCCTAACTAATAGTCTTTATGAAAAAATGTCACTCGCCTATTAAACAATGAAAACAACACGTTACAAATGTATACGTCTGAAGCGCTTTTCTGGATTCACCTTCATCGGGAACCCTCAAAGCCGAAAATTTGAAAGCCAAGGATGTATAAGAACCGAAACAGTTGAAGAGCTATATTACAAAAAAGGACCTTAACAAATAGCCAAATCCATCTAAGGTCAACTTTGCCCGAGGGAGTTAAAATCTTAGTTACTTATAATTTCAAAATTTATTAATGGACTATAGAAAGGTTTGTGATAAATTATGTCAGTACCGAAGTATTGACTAATGAGCTAATGATACCCTCGGTGTAACTAGTCAAAAACATTAGGAACTAAAAAGACAACCACTGTTGAGGTGTCTGACTTTAAACAGACAAATTATCATGCGACTGGGTTAGACTAGTACTTTATAGATCACATTATTTCCATTGTAATATCGATTAGTATTCTTATTTACCAACCTCTCGTGTTATATGCACGCTCGATAGACAAACTTTTGACTACTATTTTTCTAAAGAAGGCAATTCTAGAACTGCAAATATTATCGTCATCATATATAAGAGTTTCGTGTATTGCTATTTCTATAAAAAGTCCAAGAAAGTCGGCTAGAGGCTGTTACACCAGCCCAATGGGAAATGGAGAATTTCAATTTCCACACAGTAGTATCCACCTAATCACCTACAAATTGAAACCGTCTTAATGTTTTTAGCTATACTGTTGTTCACGTGAGTTTATAAATGTTTTATATGTGCATTTAAAGACAAATTCTTAATGATATTTAAAGAATATTATTACCAAAGAATTCTTATGTAGCGTTCAAAATGCCACTGAACAACAACCTTCCCCTCTTTTAATAGCTTTGATATTTATTCCGCGATTGCTCACCTCTGTGGCGGTTCCAACTCTAAAACAATGCGATTTAGGGTTAGGAATGTTGCAAATCTTTAGTGATTTTCTCAACATAGCTGACACTTGATATCGGGTAAGCAATGACCTGTCTAAATCTATAACTAAATGATTACAATCTGAAACCGAAGGACTTTCATGAAAAACTCATTGAACATACCAGGCTTATGTTGAGTACTTTTTTCAAAGTGACATAGTTGCATTATCTGTATATTTATTTATGAGGATGCACCTTGAATGACCTGTCTGATCTGTTTTACTTTTCTTAATGTTAATTTTGATTTGATGATCCTAGCAATTGCAGTGTTACGGTACTAGAATCAGAATTATGTTTTGCTGAAAACTCACTCACACGTAAAATAGCGAAGAATGCTAGAATAAATGAAGATTTGAAATAATAAAGATTCATAGATAAATGTACAAAAACTAGGAAGTGCTGTCGTAGTAATGATAATGTTATCGGGACTGTCTTGTGTCTCTGTGGGATTCGTCCATATTAACTTTTAAGCATTTTAGATAAAGCAAGGTTCTAAGAAGTATCCTCTAAATTACGCGACTAGTGAGAACAAGATATGCCACTTATATATATAATCGACATGTAGGTGCAGAGAGATGCTTCAAAAATAAATAAGCTATGATTTGTACTAACTGTTTAAAAGGAACTTGCCATATTTTCAAAGTGTATATTGAAGTTGGAATGAGACAAGAACAGATCTTGTAGCTTTTTAACTGCCTTTCCGTGTATTTCCGAATAAAGAATTGGAAAATAGTCGAGGAGATTTTTCTGTTATATATTCCATACTTGCTTCGGAACAGGAGTTGGTGTCATAAATGCATTTGGTGCTAGGAACCGGAAGCTGGACCACTTGGTGAAATTCAATCTTATACTTTTTGCAAATATTTAACAAGGATACGTTTGTCTTCACACCTTGAAACTGCTTGTTATGCTGGTAGTAATAGGAATGAAAGAAATTGTATTATTCGTGATTTGATAGTGACAAAAGATGAATCTCATTTCTACAATGTAGCAGATAAACTGATTTACATCAAATTGTATAAAGAAAACTATTACTGGTCTTGGCCGTCAATTTTTAAGTTAATATTATTATTGTTGTGTTTGTGAAAACACAAAACAGCTTTGTTACTTAGGAAAATATATATAATTCTCTTTTAAGTCAAGAAAAAATTTATTGTAAAGATATTTTGTGAACTTGAAATTTCTGACGTCACATATTGTTATTTAAACATATTGTTAATATTGTTTGTAATATGCCATATCTATATAGTATCATAATATTTGAATACACTGATGAGCATAATTTGGAATATGAAATTGTTAGAAAGCAAGAATAAAACATGATACGATGATTACATTGATAACTGATATATATACCTAGATCTTTTTATTATCGGTTATAACTTATAAGAACGGAAAAACGAAACTTTCAGATAGTAGAAACTTATGTGTTTTAAGAAATAAATGAAAACGTCACCTGTTTCCATTTTATTGTGGTCATGCAACAAAAGAGGCGTGTTTGTTTCAGACTTCACCCTTGTATGGTCAATCCCATTACTTGACCTTATGCAGCAAACAAACTTGCATACGGTTTAAAAAAAAGGAAGTAATGGCAATTATATGCTATATGTCAATGAGGTGGAAACCCTTCGAGACATAAACCGAGCCGCACATTGCCGCTAGCATTAAGAGGTTATAGAAATTGAAGTTGATTTGTATATTTATAATTGGCAAGTCAAACTTCGAGTTACAATCTCTTTGATGTGTTGATTCATTGTAAATTTTTAATGCACAATTTTGCCTAGTATTTCCACAAGTTGGTAATAGGAAAACGTGCCTTTCATCTCAACTACAATTAACATAGACAAGTAATGT